TTCTCTCAACCACAACATCTTTCAAGAACTTCTGGTAAGGTGGAACCAATACAAAAGCATCTAACAATGGCATAGTGAGCTGAATCTTCTTCATCTGCTCATCAAATATGCCTTTATACTTAGCAATGCGTTGCTTCTTGAACCTTCCAGGAAATAGTATTATAGGCTGATATGGTGGAGGAATGTATCTTGGCTCCTTGACTAACTCCTTAGGTGCTTCTCTTGGTTTCTCCTTAACCACCTATTTGGCTGTGGTGTTCTTTGAAACCTTTTCAGCTTCAACCCTTTCATCCTTTTTAGCTTCTTCATCATCTTTAGCCACCACCCCCTCTTCTTGTTCCTCAATGTCCACATTGGGTGCAGAAGGCGCCACTATTGGAGGGAGTTGCTTCCCACTTCTTAAGGTGACAGCTTTGACACACTCTTGTGCAAGTGAAGAGGTAGATGGTTGAACCATGCTCTCTAGTTTGCTGATCTGCATATTTAAAGAGCGTAGTTGGGATTGCAGGCTGGAGTCAACGCTTTTTTGTATTTCAACAGCCATACTTCTCTGAATGTCAGTCATACTCTTTTGAATTTCAACAACCATGCTTTTCTGAAGTTCTGTAGTTTGAAGTTGTTGCATTTGAAGGAACATTTGCTTAAAGTCTAAAGTTTCAGAGGGCTGAGAGATGGTGGCACCAACTGCTTGAGAAGAAGAACCATGATGTTGTTGAATGTAAAGGTCTTCATTGGACTGTTGTTGACATACATCATAGCCTTGTCTCATTGCTGGCTCCTCTTGTATCTGAACAGATTTGACTTGATGCTCTTGGTAGTGGTTTTGTGGACCAACATTCTGAAGAGTTTTGATGGCTCCATTGAACAACATATCCACCTTTTCTTGCAGGGCATTCATCTCATGTGGTGCAGTTTCTAGCTTCTCTTCAGCTGCCTTGGCATGTTGCTCCTTGTCATCCACATAGTCCCAGTTACTGAGCGCCATATTCTCCACTAGTAGCCATCCTTCATTAACATCTTTGCCAAGAAAATAGCCATTTCTTGCTGTATCTAGAAGGATTCTTATGGTTGGGAGAACACCTCTATAGAGTGTGGATAGTAGCATTTCTTTGGTGAAGCCATGGTGAGAGCATTGGTGAATGAAGCCTCTAAACCTTTCCCAAATTTCTCCAAAGCTTTCATTAGACCACTGTTTGAAGTTTGTGATCTCATTCCTGAATTGTGTAGTTCTTGAGGAGAGAAGAACTTGGTTAAGAAAGCACTTTTGCATTGCTCCCAAGTGGTGATGCTGCCTTGTGCTAGAGACTTTTCCCACATTTGAGCTCTATCACCAAGAGAGAATGGGAATAATCTGAGCTTCAAACCATCATCTGAAACTCCACTAAGCTTTGTCAAAGCACATATCCTCTCAAAGTGATCCAAATGCTCTAGAGGATCTTGGTTTGACAATCCAAAGAACTTCCTCTCTTGAACCATAGTAATCATGCTGCTCTTGACCTCATAATGATGAGTCTCCATAGGTGGAAGAATACCTTGTCTTGAAGCATAACTTGAAGGTATATCAGCAGCACCAATAAGTCTCAATGGTTTTTGAACCCAAGCTCCTTGAAAGCCATGTGGACCTTGCTGTCCTTATAAGCCTTGGATCCCTTGAAGACCTTGTGGACCTTGCAAACCAAAACTAGCAGCATATTGATGTTCTTACAAGCTTCAACAGCTGACTTCTGATTCTGCAAACCCAAAATCCTCGACCTTGAACCTCAGTTGTAGTGGTAGACACTTAAGAGCACGTGTTGTGGTACCTACAAAAGAAATTCTAGACCAAAAGAGAAATCAGTAACCAAAAACGAAAATAACAAAGCTTGATCTCAAGATCTCTACAAATCCTACTGAACAAAGCATTCCCCTAATGGCAACGGCGCCAAATTGATACAAAAGTTTTGAGTCTCTTTCTCAATCACCCTTTGTACTAGTCACTGTAGTAACAGTTTTATGTCAATAAAAAAGGGGAAGATTGAAACAGTAGGAATGCAGTAGATTTCATAATTCAAGCAGATATAGAGAAAGTTTAAATGTCTAACAACTTAAGTGATCAAACAGAACTGAAGCAAACATCAAACTAAGGGTAAACAGCAAGCGAAACTACTAAAATATAAGCAAAAACAGAGCAATTTCGAAATAAACAATAAACAGAGGAAAGACAAGACTTGAGATAGGATAATTGGTGTTATAGAACTATCAACTCAACCTATGATGCTTACAAACTCACACAATGCTATTCCTTATGCATATAATTCATTTATATAACTAATCCAATCTCTTGGCACTAATCTCTTTGTTAATCATCAAGTCAAGAACTAATTCTCATTAGTGAAATGACAAACAACAAGCATTAAGACAATATATCAATCCTATATTGCCAAATCACTCCCTAAACAGTCAATCTCTTGAGCTAGGACAAGCAATTCTCTTGAAAAGCAGTTCAGGCATTTCATCAAACACTTGGTGGGCATAAAATGAATCAACTTAGCTAAGGCTAATCAGGCATTAAACACAGTAATCAAGAAAGGAAAAAGAAGAATTAACACTAAGCAATCATAGATCAAGCCTCAAATTCTCTAAACCTAACCCATCTCAAATCCCTAAGTCACTACTCACTAATCACCTTCAAAACCATCAATTCAAAGATAAAAAGATAGCTAATCATGATTAAAGAGATTAAACAAGAAGATAAATGCAAACTTATATTAAAATCAAGCAAAGATTCAAACCACTAGATCAAAACCAAAACAAAAGAGGAAAGAACTGTTGGATAAAAGCTTGATCCCAAAAATTAGGAATTTTCAGTATTTATAGGAGTTTAGGCGGAGTGACAAAATTATAAATAAAGGGAAGTTCGGACTGGTTCCTATCGGCCAAAAGTGATCGATACAAGTGATCGATAGAGCATCCGCTGCATTTCCATCGGTCACCCTTTGACCGATACGCTTGATCGATACAGATCTTTGAAAACTTGGCTGGATCCCATCGGTCAGTCTTGACCGATACTATTGATCGATATAGCATCTGCTTGATTCCCATCGGTCAGTCTAGACCAATATGCTTGATCGATAGGATCTTCGAAAACTCTGCTGCATTGTATCGATCAACCTTGACCGATACACTAGACCGATAGAGCATCTGAAATCGCCTTCCCTAGCTCTTTTTGCTCCATCTCATCTTGGCTAACTCCTTAAATCATTCCCACACTTCCTCCTTGCTCCCAATAGCTTCTTAAGTACCTAAAAACATCATTAATGCATAGAGAATGCAAACTACAACCTAAATACAACCTAAGTCTAAAAGGAAAGGAAAATGAGACTAAAGAGAAAGAAAACATGCAAAAGAAGACCAAAATATGAACTAAATGCAAGCCTAAATGATGTAAATGTATGAGATATCAATGATGTTAGAGGGATGAGAGCAAAGAGTACTTGGTCCCCAACATGGTGGAGCTTGGTGGTGGGGATGAAAGAAGTGGTTCTCCCGGGTTTAAAATGGATTGTTGGAGATGGACGGATGATCAAATTCTGGGAAGATAAATGGCTAACAGATAAGACTATTCTGGAGTTCGTAGTGGGAGAGCTTCCAGATAATATGTTGAACTTGCGGGTCCGAGACCTATGGGTAAATGGGAGGGGATGAAATATTCCACAGCTTACACCTTATATATCATACTTTACTCGGCTCAAGTTGAGAGGAGTGGGTTTTGGATGATGTCACAGGTGCAAGGGATAGACTATCTTGGGGCGAAAGTTAGAATGGCGCCTTTACAGTGAAGTCGGCCTACTGTTTGCTCACACAGGACGATTCACCCCGAGCATATATGGGATGAATGTATGATCAAGTCTGGCGAGTTATAATTTCAAAAAGAGTGAAGCTCTTCTTATGGTTAGTTGCTAATCAAGCCATAATGACTAACATGGAGAGATCGAGGAGACATTTGAGTACTACAGGTATCTGCCAGGTCTGCAAGAGTGGTGATGAATCTATCATTCATATTCTCAGGGATTGTCCTGCTATGGAAGGAATCTGGCGCCGACTTGTCCCGATTGAAAGGCGTAACTGGTCTTTTGGAATGTCTTTGCTTGAATGGCTATATAGAAACCTGGGGAACTCAAGTGTGGTGGAGAGTAGCCCGTGGTCTACTTTATTCATGATGGCTATATGGTAAGAGTGGAAGTGGCGGTGTGGAAACATATTTGGTACTATTGTTAAATGCAGGGATAGAACACAATTCTTAAGAGATGCAGCGAGAGAGGTAGTTTTGGCCCATGAGAAGGTGCGAGGATATGCGATGGCTGCAGCATGAGAAGAGCATTTAATAGCATGGGAGTTCCCGAGTAATGGCTGGTTGAAGCTTAATACAGATAGAGCATCGCACGGGAATCCAGGTTTGGCTACTGCTGGTGGGGTGTTACGGGATGAGATTGGAAATTGGTGTGCTGGTTTTGTTTTGAATATTAGAGTATGTTCTGCTCCACTGGCGGAATTGTGGGAGTATATTATGGGCTATTCATAGCCTGGGAGTGTAGAGCTACACAGGTGGAACTTGAGGTGGATTCGAATATTGTGGTGGGTTTTTTAACGATAGGGATCAATGATTGTCATCCGCTGTCTTTTCTAGTGCTATTGTGCTATGGTTTTTTATCAAGTGACTTGATAGTCTGTATTACTTATGTATATATGGAAGCTAATTGTCTAACAGATAAATTAGCTAACTATGTATTTATTCTATCTTTGGGTTTTCATTCATTTGATATTGTTCCCGATTGTTTAATCTCGATTCTGGCAAAGGACTGTAATGGTTACTCAAGGCCTCGCCTTGTTCGTATATAAGAGGTTCTATTTTAATAAGATAGGGGATGCTTTTAATCCCCTGGTACGCACGCACCCAAGAAAAAAAAAATCAAATTTTCTTTTTACATTTGATTAAATTGAGAAATTATCTAGCTGGCCTAAACAAAGTCAACAAGGAAAGAATCTCAAAATAAAGGGAAACAGAATCCTAAAGAACCAAAAGTAATAGTCGTGAACAGTAAGACTTCTTATTCTCTGTTACATCAAACCATATCCCCAAATTCCTCTATGCACCCTTAAATCTTTCAATCTCAAAATCCACTTCACTGATTCTTAAATCTCGGTGTGTAGTTCTCTCTTATCTTCTTATTCATTGCCGTTTGTTGAATTGATTTCAGGATAGCTAATTTTTGTTTCTAGCTGTTTTTTGGGTTTGGGAATCGAAATTCGGATCTGACTTTTTGTGCAATTGGAACAGAGAAGATGTTGCTTAGTATGAAACAAATGTCATTGATCGTGTCTGCTTTAGGCGTCTTGTCTTTTCTTTTTGGAGTGATCGCAGAGAACAAGAAGGTATAATTAAGCACATATATATTGTCCTCCTTATTCGTTTGTTGCTTTTTCTATTAAAATTTTTTCTTGGTTGTTGATAAGAAACTGATTATTAACAAAAAGGGTTATTTTAAACAAAGTTTCATATATATCATGTGAAGTAGCTTTTGTCTATCTACTATCTAGGAAAATAAAATGATTAATCTTGCTGAAATACATGTTGAAATGAGTTTGTGTGACTTATATATTACATTTTATCTTCTTGGGTGTTTTTGTTTGTTAACAAAGCCTAAGAGTGGAACGCCAATAAATGGAAAAGGAGTAATAATCTGCAAATATCCATCAGACCCAAGTGTTGCTTTTGGTTCTCTATCAGTAGCATTTCTCTTGCTATGTACTGCAGCAGGATACTACTCACTGTTCTATTCATACAAAGGAAAGTCAATTCCAAAATCTGTCTTGTTCAAAAGCACAAGTTTCTCTGTGTTCTTCAACATTGCCTTGTAAGTATACAATGATCTCTCCTCCTCTAACATAATCTTGTTTTATATTCTGATCTTGAACGGTACAATAATGAAAACCAGGATAACATCTGGACTTGCATTGTCTTTGCTTCTATGGCCAACCATCACTGAGCAACTACATTTGACCCATAACGTTCATCGTAGTCTTGAAACTGATTGTCCCACGGCTAAGACCGGTTTGCTTGGTGGTGGGGCTTTCTTGTCACTGGACTCGTGCCTTTTCTGGTTGGTTGCTCTCATGCTCGCTGACAATGCCCGTGGAGATCACTTTGATGGAGCTGAAAATTCAAACAGACAAGTTGATGAAGATTCGGCGACGTTTGATCTCAAAATTTAACGGATGAGAGATTGAATGGTAAGCGTTATTGTTATCAAGCGGTACTTGGCAGGCTTAGGCGGTCCAATAAAATAAAATAAAATTCTTTTCTTTCAGTGTAGTTTTTTGAATTTCTACTTACATATAACTAAAGTTATAAGATTAGTTTCATGCGCATGGCATGTTTATAAACATTACATGTTGTTTGTTGATCAATTGAATGAACATTTTAGTTTAATTCGCATATATGCTATTCTTTAAGGTTTTGATTTTGATATTTATAAGGTTTTTTTGGTTTTGTTTTGGTTGTGTAGTCTGAATTTCTTAAACTGTGATATAGCTGTATGAACTCGATGATATTGGCAATCGCCTTATATATACACTTACAGATAAGATAAGGTTAATATATACGTATGATTATTTACGTAATATATGCAACCAATACCGTTATTATCCATATAATGTTATCATTATCTTAAGGTTCTAGAACTCTCTAGAACCTCTCTAACACCCTCTTAAGTTGACGAGTGTAAATTTGAAATTCCCAATGCTTTCGTTATTACATCCGCCACTTGCTTCGTGGTACGAACATTGTTGAAATGAGACCATCTCGAACAATATCACGGACACTGTGACAATCAGCTTCTATGTGCTTTGTCTTTTCGTGAAAGACCGGATACATGGCAATGTGTATTGTGGACTGATTGTCACAGAACATCTCCATTGGACCATAGCGAGGGATCCCAAGATCAGCCATCAATCCCTTCATCCACTTGAGTTTGCGCAATGCCTCTGCCATTGCTCGATACTCTGCCTCTGTGGAAGAATGAGCACGTGTCTTGCTTCTTTTGTCTTCCATGAGACAGGCAAGCCTCCAACCTGAACAACAAACGCAGACAGAGATCATAGTGTGAGGGGACACAAAGCCCAATCTGAATCACAATACTTTTGTGCCCAAAGATGACCGTCTGCGGGTAGCATTATTCCTTGCCCACAAGTACCTTTGAGATAATGAACCACACGAACAGCTGCCTCCTAATGAGCAGCTCGTGGTTGATGCATAACTTGAGATAAAACGTGAATTTCGTAAGATAAGTCAGGCCTGGTAATAGTCAAATATACCAAACAACCAACTACACGATGAAACTTAGCTGGATCCTGAAGCAAGGGGCCATCATCCGCCAGTAACTTATGGTTCTGTTCAACCGGAATTGAAAGAGGCTGGCAGCCAAGTAAGCCCATTTCGGTTATAATGTCGAGTGCATACTTACGTTGTGAGAGATATAAGCCTAAAGAACCCCGAGCAACCTTAATGCCAAGAATGTACTCTTCCTTACCAAGGTCCTTTATCCTGAAGCACTCACTCAGATATTTCTTGAACTTGGTGAGCATGCGTAAACACTACAGAAAAGTATCAAATCGTTCACATACACAAGAACACGTAACTGAATCTCCTCCCTGATGTACATAAACAGAGAATAGTCGACGTATGACTGAATAAAACCAAACTGAAGTAGAGCTTTCGACAACTTGGAGAACCAGCACCGTATAGCTTGTTTTGATCCATACAAAGACTTTCTGAGGCAGCAAAATTTTGTTGGATCATTAGTTTGGAACCCCGAAGGAAGCTTCATGTACACATCTTCTTCCAAATCAGCATGGAGAAAGGCGTTCTGTACATCCATTTGATGAACCTCCCACCTTTTAGCAGCAGCAACTTTAAACACAGTTCGAATAGTTGTGTGCTTAACAACGGGTGCAAAGGTCTTATCGTAGTCCTCTTCAACCTGTCGATTTCCACAAACAACGAGATGAGACTTGTGGCAATTGATGGTTCCATCGGTGTTGTATTTGAGCTTGTCGATCCACTTACAGGCCAGTGCTGAATTATCAGGCGGCAAATCTTCCAAGTCCCACGTCCTAGCAACTTCAAGTGAATTCACCTCCGAAGACATGGAGTTTCGCCAGACTTCATCCTGGACAGCCTCCTTATATGAACGTAGTAGTCTAAAGGACTTTATATACTATTGAACCCTTAACCTAATAAAGAAAAAAGTATTATTTGTCTACAGTGATGGACGTCTACAAGATCGACTATGTCTCTAAGTTGCAACGTTTTACATCAACGCATCATAGATAATGCATGTACATTTAGTTTACCAAACTGACGAATGAGAAAGTCGATGATGCTGTGGTAACCCATTTCTATGATCAATCTTGATTAGTTCATCACCAATATTGCTACCTAGACGAAAGAGTAAGAATTTTATTCCCATCCCATCCCATGTGTGCATACGATAACATAGTTGTTTATTTAAATATGTAGATGCATTATCTATGATCTGTTGAGATAAAATGTTACAAATTAGAGAGATAATTGTTCTTGTAGCCATCCAATAATGTGCATACGAAAACAGACCTGTCTATTATCATATCTAGATTAGTTATCTACGAGGTACACTTTGTATTCGTATTGATCATTTGAAGAAAAACAAAATAACTTTATAAAGTGTCTAATGCAAAACCAATTTCATACTTCGATGTACTGTAGTGTGTGACACATGTGTAATGCATAGCGAATTCCGTAATTCGCCTGCGTACAATTTGTATTCGTTATCTAAATTCTAAATGCCTTTAAATAATATTGATCACTTGACCAAATTAAGAAAGCAAAATAGAACAAATCAATTGTGAACTTTAGTATACTGTACATCATGTATATACATGATTTTGCGTACACCAATGGTGTACACATATGTGTCTATTGTTATGTCTAGATTAGTTATCTATGATGCGCTGAGGTAAATCATTGGAACTGAGATACAAAGATCTTTTAGCCATCCAAACAGTAGACAAAGGTAATTCAATATGACTTTTTTCTTCTTAATTAGGACAAGGGTTTCAGTATTGTCTAAAGGCCTTTAGATTACCAAACTGACGAATTAGAAAGTTGAGGATGTGATAGGGTTCAGATTTTACCCAAATAAAACTACTGCAAGTACACAACAGAGCAGTTGTAGTACAAGGGGTATCGAAATCCCAAGAGAGTAATGCAGACTACACTATCGAATGTAGATTCGGATTAAGCTAAGCAAGATATGATGTATGTAATGCGAATGAATGAATGAAAGTAAGCAAACAATTTTGTAAGATAATCTAAGTTCCAGAAGACTAAAAGCACTAGGTCAGGGTAGTTCGCAGGTTTAATCCAAGAATGTGTGACGCAGGAAATCATGAATGATTAAGAACCATTTTAAACATGAATCACTGATGCATAACTAATCAATTCTCATTGCAAAAGTTATATATGCCTAAATCACAGAGTTTCAAATCTCTTTGCAAACTCTAACAACCTAAGCATGCAGGAATGATCAGATTCAATTGTTTACAAAACTCCTAAGCCAAATCTCTTTGCACTAAGTTGTTTTGTTCATAAAATACTAGTTCAGGTTATGAATAATGTTTTCACATATATTTAACAACCTAAGATTTTCGGATTCCTAGATGATGTGTCTCAGAAATTCGATTTTAAAGCAAGCAGAGATGAAAAACCATAAGATATTCCTAACAGATAGCGATCCTACAATCTTTTCATCAACCTTTGAAAAACCCTAAATTAACTAGCAGATTACTCAGACATGATTATGGAATCACAAAACATAACTGAATAAAATTACATTAAGAGAAAGAGTAAGAAATAAAGGGGGTTCGAAATCTTCTTAAAAGAGTACAGGATTTGTCTCCCCAAAAAACTCTGAATAAATCTCTCTCTAAGCTCTCTGAATTCTCAAAAACTAAGATCATAGCCAACAATGGCTGAAAAACCTAATAAATAGAGGCTAAACACGATCTGGGGTCTTCATGTAAATAAAGGAACTTCTGGGCCAATTCTGCAAATCTTCGTCATACTTTTAATAAAACAGCCACACTCCTTCCTTAATGGGTGACGAGCATCACCAAAGGTGGTGACGAGCGTCACCATATGTGATACTTTCTGCTTCGAGCTTGGTACTTCGTGGCTTCCACTCAGAATGCTCCAAAAGGTTCCAAAATCTCCTATTATGCTCCAGACATGCTATAATCTGCAAAGACTCTTCTAGGACTCTAAAAAGACCAAAAAGACTCAATAAAAAGGACTTATATCATGGTTAAAAACCATAGAAACTATGATATATCAACTCCTCTAGACTTAGCTTTCGCTTGCCCTCAAGCAAACATCATACAAAGAATAAGGTCGAGGTTTGAAAATAAGAAACAGTCAATCAGTCATCAAGAACACCATACTTGTTAGAGCTTTCGAATCCACATACCACATAGTCAACACAAGGTCAAATTTCAGTCTAATTATCACAAGTTTAGCAAATCTCTCAAGTCCAGTCCAAATCCCTTCAAGAAATCCGAAATTTCTACTGTTAACTCCTTATTTTTATCTACGTGTGAAATCTCATCAAAGCTCTATCATCTTTATCACTTTATAGATTCTTTTCCCTTACTAACAACTGAACAAATAGAATCTCAACAAGCTCTCCTATTTTCTCTTCCCTTGATATTTTCCTTAGGATATTTTCGATTTTTCACTTCTTTTTCTCAACTTTCACAGTCTAAGATATGGGGCTACCCAACACTTGTGTTCCTTGTGAGGAGACAGGTTCTTGAGTGTGTTCACTACTGTTGTTCCTTGTGAGGAGACAGGGTCATGAATGCACCATTCGTTGGACTTAATCTTTTAAAAACTACATCAGGGAAGATCAAAGAGAGACTGTATTTTAACTTTATTTTCAGTGCTGAAAGAGAGAATCAGGATCAATAAGAATCAATCACCAAGACAAGAAGTTTAAAGTTCATTAAGGTGGAGCTAACAGCAAATTTTTCAGACTCTCTAAGAACCTAAACTTTTATTGCTAGACTGATCTACCTATGACTTTCAACTTAGTGAGACTTGTAATCAACTACTGTGGCAATGGTTCTTATCAGCAAAAACGTCCTATGGTTAGTTCCAAGAAAAACTGACAGTTTCAAAAATTTTGATTCTAGAAAAACAGGTTTTTGACTCAACTTTAAGACTCTATAGACATGACACAAAGCACACAATGTCAGTAACCACCTCCCCCAGACTTAAACAACACTGTCCCCAGTGTTATTAAGCCAAGAGTTGGTCAGAAAAATGAATGAGAAGTCGAAAAACCAAGTAAGAAAAGTGTTACCTCGCGTGGGGTCGGATGACGAGCGTCACCACGACCTGTATTGCCTAATTCTTATGTCAGATGTTAATTAACG